GCCACGGGATCCTGCCTGCTGGGAACAGGAGAGCCGGCCCGGAGGGGACGGTGACAAGGGGCGCAGGGACGTTAGGGTCCGGGAGTTGCGCGTCCCCTTAGGCATTCACCCCGGGACCCTCGGTGGGCCCAGCCACCTCCTGTGGGGTCCTCTGTGGTCAGAGAGGCCCCACACCGGCCCATTCCCAGCACCAGGGGGGCTTTGCGGGCACAGGAGGGTGAGGGTGGTGCCCAGAGAAAGGGGCGCGGCCGGGAGGCTGCGGACACGGCCGCGTGCGTCACTAGTTCCCCGGGCAGCGGACCAGGATGCGGGAGAGCGCGGTGCCAGGAGTGGGACGCGGAGGAGCGACTGGAGACGGGGGCAGAAGAGAAGGGGGATTCTCTTAAGTGATGCTCTGAGCGAGGGGTTTCTCAGCCCATTCTCCAGGGAGCAGGGGCACCAGTTCCGCGGGGGTCCCACGGCAGCCACAGGCCGAGGATCCAACTCAAACACCGTTTAATCACTGAGGAATGTGGGTCAGATCCAGGGCCGGGGTGAGGAGGGGGAGCACCATTTAAGGTGCATGAAAAACGCAGGGGCTGAGCGCCGACCTATGAGCCAGGAGGTCAGGGTTCGATTCCCGGCTGGGGCACAGGCCCGGGTTGTGGACTCCATCCCCAGTGGGGGGCGTGCAGGAGGCAGCCGGTCCATGATTCTCTCTCATCATAGATGTTTCTCTCTCTCTCTGTCCCTCTCCCTTCCTCTCCGAAATCAATAAAAACACACATTTAAAGAAAACCTCCATTCTCAAGGTACATTACGATTTAACGCAATGTGTGCCAAAGTCCCACTGGCTCACTGCGGCCCGCGGGTCTGCTCCCGGCCTTTGTCAGTAACGTTTTGGGGACCGAACGCCCATCTTCGTGCAAGGACTTCAGGGATCTGCCCCTCAGGCATCTTCCCCGAGCCCCACGCCTCCCCTCCGGGGCCTCCATCCTGCAGGGACGCCGCCTGACCCCTGCTCAGCGAGGCCCAGAACCTCCCAGAACAGAGCGCGGTCTATTCCCCGCTTGGCAGGGGCAGCCCCGCACGGCGGGAGCGGGGAGAAAGGGCCTGAGCTTTTCAGAGGCAGGACTTGGCACGGCCGGCGGGCGGGCACGGGCACCGGCTTCCCTGCTCACAGCTGAGCCGGAGCTGGGCGCAGAGGGTGTGATTGGCAGATCCCTCCCCCACCGGGAAGGGAGCCCGGGCCGCGGGGACCAGACCGCACGCAGGGCCCACCCCCAGCTCGGAGCTGAAGAAAAGCTGCTGAGCGCAGCGGTTCCTCAGACCTCGGGGAGCCAGCGGACAGGGCAGGAGGGGAGGACAGAGGACAGAGGGAGGACGGAGGACAGAGGCGGGAGGAGGCGGCCGGGGGCGCGCAGACACTGCCAAGGAGAAAAGGGTGCCCCGGACCCCCACCAGGCTCCATGGCAGGAGGCGGGGGGATGGCGCCAGCTCGCCGCACGCCCACCCCATCCTTAGTGACAACACACAGCCAGCCAGTCGCAGCCCCCCAGGCTCTGCCCGGTGACCGTGGGGTCCTGGGGGTTTGCTCAGCTTCTCAGGGGAGATGCGTTCCACCCAATCCGCTGGCCAGGGCCCCCCTCCTTTGTCTTCTAAGCGACCTGCCCCCCACATCTTGACCTTGAGCTCAGGGTGCCAGGTGACGGCTGTGATATTACAAGGAACC